CCATCAAAGGCCTGAGAAGGGAGATAATATTACTTGAGCAGGTAGAAAGTACAATCAAGTAGCTTCCAAAGTGAGCAATATATGACAGAGACAATTAGCTACCTGAGCAATCACCCAAAGTCTCATTTTGCAATATTGAAGCAAAGAACTTTAGCTATGGCCTAGCGTAATTGACAGACCATTTTCAGAGGCAGAGAATTTTTCAAAACTGTCTCATCCTGAGAAGGAACATGCGGCCTACCCTGCCAAAAATGCTACCGAGCCATGTGGCTAACATAGATAAGAATATTGGGTTAACATAAGTTATAAGAGTTAATAAGAAGCCTGAGCTAATGGGCCAATCAGTTTACAACTACTGGAGACTCGGCATAATTTTCTTTGGGACTTAATGACTGCGGGAACTAGGCAGAACAAGGACTGGGCAGGACAGAAAACCTCAGTCAACAATAGTAGATAGAAGTTAATCTTTTGGTTACCTAGAAATACATGTGTAGCCATAAGTTTGAGATGTAATCATGAGTTACATGTACAAATTACATGAAAATGCATGTTAATGGGGAGATATCAGAGCTGTTATTACAAAGTGATATTACAGATGAAAGCAATTCAGAGTTTTAGAGTCAGTGGTGCTGCTGGCTTTGCCAGGCAGGATTCCACAATCTAAGAGTCATTTCTCAGGTGGGTTGACATCCAAATCATCAATTGCCATAATTGTTATTTCGTCATGGCCACAATAGCTCATGATAAACGCTCCTGAAAGGTGATGGTGGAGGCCTCAGTTTTCACATTTTCATCAACTGCCTGTTGGTTTTAAAGTCATCCTTCTCGAGGGAGAACATGAGCAAGGAAGTCAGGACTGCCAGGGGTGCGTCCACCCACTGAGACGGTGGGACTGACCTAATGGGAGATCACCAGGCCAGTTGGACTGGAACTGATGGAGCATGTGATCAAACCGGATTCTCTAAATGTGGCTGACGGTTGAGGCTGACTGAGAAGCCACGGGCAATGGTGCTGGGTTGTGATTCTGCTGCATGGATGGTCTTTGTGGGGGCCTAGTCTGTTTGGATGCTCACCTACCTGGACCTGGGGGGAACAGGAAGGACCTTGGACTTCGCATAGGGTAGGGAACCCTGACTGCTCCTTGGACTGGAGAGGGAAGGAGAGGGGGGATGGAGGGAGGGAAGGGAAGTGGGAGAAGGGGAGGAGGTGGAAATTTTCAATAAAAAATATAAAATAAACTCATCCTTCTCTCTGGGGTGTGAAGCTGGTCAAAAGCATGCTCTTAGCTCTTAGCTTCCTGGGCCTGGATGTAGTGGGGAGGGCCTTGGACTTCCCACAGGGCAGGGTTCCCTGCCCTCTCTTAAGGAGGGAGAGGGAGGGAGGAGGGTGAATGGGGGAACGGGAGAAGAATGGGAGGAGGGAAGAAAGTGTGGATTTTTGAATGGAAAAAAGAAAAAAAAGATTGCTCTTTCCAAAGTACCCTATCCAATTCCAACCACAGTGCAGTTGAATCTATGTATACTGAGAAGCAGTCTACAGGAAGCAAGGAATCAGCCCGGATGGTTGGTTCTCCATGACCTCAAATTAAGCAAAGGAAACTCCTAATTTCTCATCTTCCAAGTCTCCACTCACCTAGCTGACCCTGCCTGAAACAATTGAGAGCATCTGTGAAATGGACATCATTAATTATTGACTTTGATTGCCAGTTTCAGAGAAGGAGGCAGGAGGGCTGTAGCTTGTACTCTGTGAAATGGTCTGTCCTGTCTCTTTAAGAGACAAGCCACTCCCACTCCCTCCCCATCCACTGAGGCAAGCTGATCTTTAGCTTCCAGCCTGAGTTCCTTTCCCTTTTCCATCTCTGTCTCTCCATCTTCTCTGCTCTTCTCCTTCTCCCCTTTCCTTTCCATAAACCACTAAATAAATATCTAAGCTCACTCTTCATGCATGCTTATCCATGTCTCTGTCTCTCACATGCAGTGTGGCTCCCAGCCTGGGACCAGTTAGTAGCCTTTGGAGACCTGCAGCATGGTCTCGTGGCATGCCCATTTGTTGTCTCTCCTTGTGAGGGGCTGCAGGCACTCGGGGAACTGTGCCATACCTGCCTGGGACTGGCTGCTCTTGGGACACCTTCCACCACATGGCCCACTGCCATTGCTCAGGAACTTGCAGCATTTGTGCTGCTGCAGCCACTCAGGGATTCACAGCATTTTTCTTTTACCATTAGACTCTGTGCTCCAGAGATGAACAGGGTAGGAAAGAAACACTCAATAGAGGCAGTAAAGCTTCAGTATCATTGGCGTGGTCTGCAAGTGTAAAGCATTGGGAAAGACAGGGCTATGGGATGGAGAGGATAATTCACATGCAACAGTCAAGAAACTCACTAGTTCAATGAAATGGCTGGTTACTTCTAGAATTTTAGAACATCCGACCTGACATCTCCAGAATCTAATGGAAGACAACAACAACAACAACAAAAATAAAGTCTCAAAGAGTAAAATCATGGTTCAAAATTCTAATTTGAACACAGAGACCTAGGAAGCAGGATGCTTCCTGCAATATTGAGGAAATCCTAGTCTTCATAATGGGACCATGAATGAACCAGCAGAGAAAAAGAACTTCTTGTTATCATTGTTTTATTATAGTATGGCAGCCCTGACAGTCCTGGAACTCACTCTGTAGACCAGGTTGACGGAATTCCCAGAGATTGCCTCTACTTCCCAAGTGTTGGGATTAAAAATGTACCGATCCATGCCTGGTTTAAATTGACTTAAGATCAGCACAAGCTGGGTGTGGGTGGCAATTGACTTTAATTTCAGCACTAAAAGAGAATTCCTGTGAGATCAAGACTGCCTGGTCTACAGAGACAGTTCCAGGACAGCCAGGGCTACAGAGAAACCTGTCTTGTGTTGAAAACAAGAGGAGGAGGAGGAGGAGGAGGAGGAGGAGGAGGAGGAGGAGGAGGAAGAAGAGGCAGAGAGCAGCACAGTCAAAGTCAAAGCATTTGAATGACTCACACCTACAATTTCCAGTCCCCCCACTCTTCCAGGAGTTCAAGGTCACTATGAACAGAGTCTACAAACAGACTCAAATAATGACTTTGATATAAACAAAACTCCCTGGCTGTTTGTTATCCAGCAGAATCTCTTCCAGGTCAGGCAGGGTTAAATAGGAAATCCTTATCTCAAAAAAAAAAAAAATCAGCAAACTAAAAGAGAAATAAATGATACCTGGAGGTGAACCCAACTCTAGACTCTTCAGGTTAAGATAGGGTCTCTTGATGGAGCTAAGGAACTTTCCTGATCTAAATACTGATAACAGATCTCCAGTTCCAAAATGGGTAGGCAGTGACTTCAAAGAACTCCAGCCTCCAAGCCCCAGGCCTTCTCTCAGCTCTGTCCCTCAAACACCTTTCCAGAGAACCCTCCCCTTTGTAGCCACACCCTCCCAGCCAAAATCTTCAGTCTGAACAACTGAGGCCCTGCCCACTTCTTTTGGGATTTAGATGGTGTCTAGATGGATTGGATCAGATCAACCAATGAAAAGAACTAAAACTACTGCCATAGTTACCTTCTCAACCAGCTTGCCATTATGTAGCTCTGACTATCCTGGAGCTCACTATGTACCGAAGAGTCCAAGAATAAGAAAATAAAAACGTAGATTCAAAGATAAGACTATTAAAACAAAGAAGTAAAAAGTTATAAGTCTAGGAGAATGAGAACAAACCATCAGCAGCTTCCTCAGCAGCTTGAGGATTAACTATTAACAGCAGGTGATTTCGCTTTACAACCCATGATTATTCACAAGGCCAAAGCATCTCTCTGCAAACTGAGAGTTAGGCTACGGATATGAGCTGAGTCAACTTTTAGGTTATAGGTTAAGATATATGACCTCTGGGTTGTACATTATCCCTGCTATGTGAAACTGGCAGCATCAAAGGGGAGAGCACGGGGCTTCAGTAAACACTGCCCATAAGTATCAAGAAAGACAATAGGTTACTAGTTTAACTGAAAAACTGTTCATGGAGATTGTAAAGTAACACAATCTGTACCAGAATTTTTCCTTGAGAATGTAAAAATTCCTTTGTTCAGACCTAATGCTTGGTGCCCCTACGATAAGAAGACGGGTTCAGCCTCTGCCACAGCCATAAAATCCATCTCTGGCAGTGGTCTCAGTTAGTTGATAAGCTTTTGATGCCCCATGGAGATTTTTTTATTTTATTTTTATTTTTTCCTGGATTTCAGTTTCTGGAATAAAGTTTGTTTCTGGTTAATTAGACTTTGGTGGTCTGTCCTCATCTTTGCGTGGCTGCCCTAGACCCATCATGTGTGTAGCAGGCAGACTTGAACTCTTTGAGACCCTCCAGTCTCTGGCTTTGGAGTATTGTGATTAAGGGTGTTTGCCACCATATCTGGACAACTGTAAGGCTTTAAAAGCATAAAACTAGCTGGGAATTGGTGGCTCATGCCATTAATCCCCAAACTCTGCCTTCAAGGCCAGACCGGCCTACAGAATGAGTTCCAGAATGATGAGAGCTACACAGAGAGTATGTCTCAAAAACCTAAACCTGTGTGTGTGTGTGTGTGTGTGTGTGTGTGTGTGTGTGTGTTGTGTAATCAAAAGGGGAATCTAAAACATATCAAAGGTATTGTGTGCAGGCAGGGAGGGGTTTGTGGTGGGAGGGCAGGAAGGGAGGAGATTGTGGGGGATGGGTGGGCACAGAGCTACAGTCTTGGCTTCTCAATCAGTGGAAGGTGATTCAGATAGGATCAGCTCAGCACACAGCCTGGAGGATGTAAAATAAATAATGAGGCCTGGCAGTGGTGGGGCAGGCCTTTAATCCCAGCATTCTGGAGGTAGAGACAGTTGGAGCTCTGTGAGTTTGAGGCCAGCCTGTTCTAAAAGAGCTAGTTCCAGGATAGACTCCAAAGCTGTAGAGAAACCCTGTATCAAAAAGCCAAAAATAATAGTAATAATAAGTAAATAAATAAATAAAATGAATAATGGGAGCCAAGAAAAAAATGCGGGGGACCCATGGAGCACCAGAAGTAACCATAGAGTACCCATGGACCCCAGAAGAAGGCATTGGATACTCTGGACTAGTGATGGAGAAGGTTGATTACTGGGAAGTGAATCTGGATCCTCTGGAAAAAGTTCTCATAGCCACTGAGCCATATCTTCAGCTCCTAAATCGAGATTTTAAAAAAGTAAATATGAATTTTGGTTTTTTTTTTATTATTCTTGTCTGTACTTGCATTTAAACATCTCATGGCACTCCATAAGCATCAGGAGACACCTTGAGGTGAAGTCACGACAAAGACACAGACAGTGACTTCACCTGCGGAGCCATCTCAAAGATGATTCCAATGTTTTGTGTCTTTGGATGGTCATATTCAGGTGTGGGGTGTCTAAGTGTGGTCTCAGGTAATTGGGAAGAGGACGGCAAGACTATGGTGGCAGCAGAGCCCACCAGGTCCTGACCAGTCTGGACAGCATCATGAGAACACACCTCAAGACAGGAAGCAAAGGCTGGCATGAGGCTGGGCTGGTACCATGGGTGTACAACATGTACCTGGCCTGAAAACTGATCCTAAACTCTCCTAAAAAGTCGATCATCTCTGTTTCCCGAGTCCCTCACATAGTTTTCTAGGCTGCTTCCTTCTGATTGGAGGTGATGATAATCTTATTGGAACTCAAAGAAAATTTAGGATTATGGTCAAGTCCTGACTGGAGTATTCTATGAGGCTGAATCTTCTCAACAGCAGTCTTGAAACCCTTCTGGATGTAGAACTAAGAGGAAACTGAAACAGATACTCTGAAGCGTTGGATCATCTGGGCCATCTGTCCCTATGAGATATTTCAGGGGGTCTGTCTTGAACAATCCTTATTTTTTTTAAACCCTGAATGAACCCACAGACTCTCACTTCATGTGGAAACAAAAGCAAAACTTCTCCGAAGTAACATATCCTTTGAATTAAAACTTTAAAGTCAAGTCTTTTTTCTAAAATATATCGGTTGAATTAATCCAGCAGGCTTCTACTCAAACATCTGTTAGCAGCTGTTCCCCCATTCTCAGCAGTGAAACAATTCAAAGACAAAACAGTAACAAACATTATCCAGATTCTCAGTGTATTTTCCATCTCTACGTGGTTTTTACTTTCTTATATTTTTATTTTCAATTTTTGGATTGTTAAGATAGATTTTCTGTGTTTCCGTGGCTATTGTGGCTCTCACTCTAGACTAGGCTGGCCTTACACTTAGATCTGCCTGCCTCTGCCTCTCAAGTGCTGGGATTAAAGGTGTGTGCCATTATGCCCAACCACTCACTTTTGATTTAAAAGACTTTATCCTTTTCCTTACATTTTAGAAAACATTGTAAGTCATTAAAAGCCTTTTTCTCCCATCTCAATCTGTCTTTACTGTATTTCTATCTTATTCTGACCACATGAGCCTTTAATCTGCTAAACAGCATGGCTAGGATTAAAGTTGCCACTTTGGCAGCTGGTTCTGCCCCATTCCATGGCTTCCTAATAATAATTTAGCTTATTGTGAATGCACTAGTGATAGCCATGTTTTTGTTATAACTCTGTGGAGTTTCAAAGTCCATTCTACCACAAAGAATCATGATGCCTATGGCTCATTAATGCCATTTCAGTGTTAGGTGACAGAGACTCTTAAAAGAGCTGGGAAGAAGCCAGGCTTGGTGGCATATGCCTTTAATTCAAGCACCTGATATCTGCTTTTTCTAAATTTAATTTCTGTTTCTACTTTAAACTTATCTCAATAGGCTTCCACTTGGCTGGCAGACACATCTAAGCATCAGTTTCTGACAACAACCTGCTCTGAATGGTGGCGAGTCCTGGACTTCCTAAAAGCTGGTGTGGACCAGTCCAGCTGATATAAACACTCCCTGCCTCTTCTTCGGAGTCTGATGAGTGCCACATTGTCTAAATTTCCCCCAGCTTTGGCTAGCCTTTCAACCTGCTTGGGTCTGGATAACAACGCCGCAATGTCAGCTTGAAGTAGTTGTGGAAAGGAACATGTCATCTCTGCCCATAATAGGTTAAAAGGCTAAGACAAGGGAGACCTCCCAGAATGGGAGACAAGACCTCTAGCACCTGTTGATATTCTAAAAAAGTAGGTCCAGAGTTGTCAATTAATGGATTTATTAATTTAAATAATTCCACATCTCCTTAAAACCAGGGGCAAGCAGGAACCAAGATTGGGTCCTGTCATTGGTGCTTGTGAAAGGGGAAATGTAGGAGCCAGCCATGATACGCTAAATATGAACAGATCACCCAAAGGATGTTCTTTACTTCCAACCATTATCACCTGCAAAGGTAGGGCTTAGCCATCCATAAATTTAATAGAGTCCTGAGTCTCAGCAGTTAACCCTGAAGAAATACCTGGTTGCAGGAAGAACCACAAACTGAGATTACCTGAGCACCACCCAAAAACAGACTATCCAAAGGAAATGTCTAACATTCCAACCACCATAGATAGGATCACCTGCCAGCACACACTCACCAGGAAATCCCTAGATAAATATCAGCCAATTAAAGGTCCTTAACCTCAGAAACCCCTCACCCACAACTTTACTACTATAAAAACCCTATTCTAACTGAGCTGGGGGCTTTCCGTTTATTCCAAATCATTGGACATGTGGAGAGACCGAGTTTGTACACTTGTATAAAATAAAGGCTCTTTTGCTTTTACGTATGGGACTTGGTCTTGTTGCCTTTTGGGGGACTTTGTGGATTTGGGCATAACAGTGACATGTCTTTAATCCCAGCACTCCGGAGGCAGAGTCAGGTAAATTTCTGTGAGTTAAAAGCCAGCCTGGTCTACAGAGTGAGTTTTAGGACAGAAACACCCTGTCACAAAAAAGAAAAATAGAAAAAAAAAAGAGCTGGAGTTTTTTGCTGCTAGGAAGCATCTCTTTAAAAACCAAGCCTACCTGGAAAAAAGACAAGTTACCAAACAGCTGCACCTGACTTTGTTCTTCATTACAGAACAAGGTGGCCAAAGCTTCTAGCTTCTGCTGCTTCCTGGGGCTGGAAGATGCCCCCCTTGTTCAATTACATCTTCCAGTTTACCAGCTTTTTGTTATTGCTGGTTTTCTCATGTGGGTGCGAGACAGGGTGGCAGCAAGGACAGGCACAGCAGGAGAAGCAGCTAAGCCAAGGAAGACAGGAGCTGGGAGTTCTCTGAACCCAGGTGGTGGCTAGGTTTGGGTTCCAATTCCTAGAGCTGGAATTCCAATCCCAACTTTGGCAAGGGTTGGTGGCTAAAAAGCCACAGGCAAATGGCCTTTCCGTTTTTTTTTTTGGAAATTCATGTACCAAAAAGTGGGTGCCAAATGATACATGATTAGTAAGACCTCAGAGAAATTGGGATTCAACCTGAAGATCCAAATAGAAAAGCAGTCGCCACTGGTTCTTACCTGGACCTCAATCTGAAAATGGTGATCCTGCCTCCAGGAATCTCTGAATGAGATTGGGAGAGCTGTTGCCTTCCGTTTTATAATCCTTTCTAGCGCTGGGATTAAAAGCAAGCCCTAGGGAAAAAAAAAAAAAGCCAGTACCACTGGTCTTTAAGGCATGCACCTCCTGCCTTTTATGGCAACTAGTGATGCTACTGGGATTAAAGGGCTGTGTTATCACTGCTTGGCTGTAAGACGGACCAATGTGGCTGTTTAACTTTCCCGATTCCCAGAAGACTAGAGATGAAAATGATCATTTACATGCTGAAGGAAGGAAAGTCACTAGAACAATTCCACAGCTGTTTACTGTTTAAGAGCACCAGAACAGCTTCCTGAGTTCTTCTGATACTACTAAGACTGCAGGGGGGGGCAGAGTTATTAATTAAATGTCAACTGAGTAGATGGAAGCAGGCTGCTTTCCTCAAGTTTGAGGGCAGCATAGGCTCCAGAAAGAGGAGTCCATGCAGCAATCCGCAGGTGCAAATAACTTTGTTTCATTTTCTATTTAGATACAAGGTAGTAACCCTGCCATTGTGGAACTCACTGGGAACCATGGCTTTCACAAGATTCCTCTGGAGACCAGGTTAGTCTCCACCTCCACCTGCTTTGGCTGCTAAGTGCTGGGGTCAACATGCCGACAGGTCCTGGAAGGGAACTCACTGAGTCAACTCCAACTAAGAGATCACCCTTCCTCTACCTTCCTCGTGCTGGGATTTAAGGCATGCCTGGCTTACATTGACAAAAAGGGGAGCACAAGCAAGGGGTGAGTGCCTCCCCTTTCTCTTTCAGCCTGAACAACCCTGAATTCAAGGTCACCCTGACAGTCTTGGTAGTCTCTCTTTTTTAATTTTATTTTATCTTTTAGTAGTCTCTTTCTGAATCAACAGAGAAATCACAAATCACCCAATTAATTATCATATATAAATAAGAACATACTGACATATTCAGGTTATCCAGTCCAAAGATCTCTGAGGTAAAAGAATCTATGTGAGAACTGACCTTAAAAACAGAACAAAAGCCAGGCGGTGGTGGCACAGGTCTTTAATCCCAGCACTCGGGAGGCAGAAATGGGGCGGATCTCTGGGAGCTCGAGGCCAGCCTGGTCTACAAGAGCTAGTTCCGGGACGGGCACCAAAGCTACGGAGAAACCCTGTTTAGAAAAACCAAAAAAAAACAAAAACAAAAACAAAAAAATCCCCAAAAGTATCAGAATTCCCTGGAAACTAAAAGACCACACACAGTATTTGAAGCGCAGACAAGGCTAGACGAGGCTGCAGGAGATTAGAGAGCTGATGGATTTACCTGAGTCGGACACTGGTGCGAGGCCTCCAAGTCAAGGCAGGGAAACGTTGTAGCTCCAGGACCTGAGACTCTGTGGGCTTCTCTGGAGGCTCTGTTCTTTATAACCCTTCCCACTGAACCCGCCCCTCTGTAGTCACGCCCTCCCAGACTAAGCCTGTAATCTGATTCTACAACTGAGTCCAATCTTGCTCCATTAGGGATTTAGTTGCTGTACAATCATATCTAAACCCAGGAAAAACTTAGATAATAACTGATTAATTTATTCACTGATATCAGCCAGAAGTGGTACGGGCCTTTTATCCCAACCCTTAGATGGCAGAAGCAGGCAGACCTCTAAATTCAAGGCCAGCCTGGCTCACAGAGTGAGTTCTGGCATAGTCAGGGCTACAAAGAGATCCTTCCTTCCTTCCATCCTTCCTTCCTTCCTTTCTTCCTTCCTTCCTTCTTTCCTTTTTTTTTTTTCCTGAGACAATGTTTCTATGGAACCAGCTCTTGTAGACCATGCTGGCTTCAAACTCACAAAGATCTGCCTGCCTCTGCCTTCCAAATGCTGGGATTAAAGGCACGTGGGACCACTGCCCAGCTGAGAATCTGTTCATTGAAAAACATTAACAAATAAATAAATAATCCATCCATTGATCCAGTACAGAAATACTGCATTGTTAACTTTACATCTATGGATCTAGCATTTGAATTTTTTGAGATGGGATTTTACCATGAACCAATGGTTAGCTGGCACTCATTAGTTTGCCCAAGGTGCCTTTCAACTCTCAACAATAGTCCTGCCTCACCCTCCCTTGTGTGAAGGTGTGAGAGATGCCACACCTGTCTGAGATTTCTTTTTACTTGAACAGCTTAGTTCTGAAGCAAGGCTGGCCTTGAACTCAGAGAGTTAGACCTGCCTCTAACTCTCCAGTGCTGGAATTAACTTCTTGTCCCCCCTTGCCTGGCTATAGGTCTTTATTTTTTTCTTTTATTCCCAATATTTTAATATTTTATCAAACATCGATTCTTCTCTTTTTTTATTATTATTAAAAATTTCCGCCTCGCATTTTCCTCCCCCTTCCCTCACTCCACTTAATAGCCTTGACGTTCAAGGACCTCCTAACCTATAAGCCAAAGGTGGGTTATTTGTCTGGAGAAGCTCTCTTTATCCTTCCTTACCTGAGACAATCAGCCAGGCTGCCAACTAGAGCAGGAGAATATTTGATATAGAGATGCTGGAGACAGTGGAATTTGTGTAATTGTGATACCAATTTGTTCATGCACTCCTCTTCCAGCTCTTCAGATTCACTGATGCTTGAAACCTTCATGTGCTCCAAACTGAGTGTGTGAATGTTTCTCACCTGTCTCAGGTACGGTCCAAAAGGACCCAGGCCTTCTATCCATATATATCTTAACTTCGGCTCCCATACACAGTGGGGATCTACAGACTTTTAAGAAGTCTATGGCAGTGGGAAAGTATTCTGATGTCAAAATCTCAAGCTTTCGACAGCATAAATGAACAGAACTTTTTCTCTGCTGGGCCCATCGCCACAAGTATGTGGTATTCATGGCACTCAATGTTCATTATTTTTGGGTCAGTTACCACGTTTAATTATTTCTTTACTCCCGAGTAAGGACACATCGCAACTGGCCTCTTCTGTCTCATGACCTGACAAGAACAGTTCCCTTATAGGTTCCAGTCCTTTTGCTCCAGAAACCAGGGTCCATATTTGTCAAATCCAGGGAGCAATCTCAGCAAATAACATACATATTTCAGTCTTCTCATCCACATCACACTTAAGCTCTCCATTCCAAAAGTTTGCTTTTTCCTATGCATAGAATCAAGGCCAGGGCTTCATGCTCAGGGAGGCATCCTCAGCCCTGTCCCACGTCCTTCCATTCCCCTTACTCCCAGCCTCATTTCACATAAAACTTTGAGTGACAAATCCTCTTGAGGGATTCTTCAGTGGCTGTTCTCTTTTGTGTTCTCCACATTTACCATTATTTGCCAAGAGGCTGAGACCAGGCCAAAGCCTCTAAAATCCTCTAAGCAGATGCTATTAGAATTCTCAATCCTCTTTGACCAAATAGTCCTTGGCGCCACATGTTTTTCCTTGCACACACTGAGCCTCCTCCAACCGAGCTGGATCTTGCTTACCGGGGGCAAGGCTCCTCTGTAATCAGCACATCTAGTCCATCAAGCAGAGTTTTCAAAGTCTCCAGGTGTGGGGTCTTCATCAGGACTCCTACAGGAAGGCATGTGAATGGCCAGGCAGGCACCATGGCCCGCAGGATGTTGGTCTGATTTTTTCCTGAAGGCCATCTCAAATGTTGCTGGTGACAGCAACCAGGGCAAGCCCACCAGAGCAGAAATGGTCAAGGTCTCCTTCTTCAGTAGGCTCTCGAATGCTGGCTGCTGGAGTGTTGGTGAGGCTTGATCTCTCATTGTGACTGGTTTCAGGAATAATGATCCTGGGGAAGCAGGCAAAGAAAGAGACCATTAATGATTGTAAACTAGGAAGTCCTACTGCACACACAGGGAGCTGTCAGGGAAGTCAGTGCTGAGGCATTGTTGAGATCTCCGTTGACCAATTCTCATCACCTTCTGCTGGATATAAAGCAACAATTCACCTCTCTGTGGTTTGCAGTCTCCACAAAGAAAGAGGAGGACCACAGGAAAAGAGAAAAACAAAACTCAAAAGGAGACGACTAGAGATGGAAACGATTATTCACATTCTGGAGGAAGGAAACTCCCTAAAACACTGCCACAACTGTTTACTTCTAGAGCACCAGAATGGCTTCCTGAGTTCTTCTGAAACTTGTAAGACTGAAGGGGGTAGGATTTCTAATTAAATGTCAGCTGGACACTGAATGAAAGCAGGCTGCTTTCTGCAAATTCGAGGACATTATAGGTTCCATGATCAACAGATGCAAATACCCTGGCTGTTTAGAACTCACTGTGAACCCTGGCTGTCCTGGAAATCTCTGTAGACCAGGGTGGCCTCAAACTTAGAGATCCACCTCCCTGTGTCTGCTACATGCTGGGGTGAAATAGCATTCCAACACCTCCTGGATTGGAACTCGCTCTGTAGCCCAGGCTGATCTCAAACTCACAAGTATCAGCCTTCCTCTGCGTCCCTAGTGCTGGGATTTAAGGCATGCTCAAGAATACATGGTTTAGCGCTCTCTCTCTCTCTCTCTCTCTCTCTCTCTCTCTCTCTCTCCCAGTCTCTCTTCAGAGAATTGGTTACCGCCTCGCTCACCTTTTCTCTCTCTCCCTTCCCCTTTCCTCATATCACCCACTAATAACTCTATATCCCACACCCCAAAGAAGAATACCTATCTTTAATTGAGAAAAAGATCAGCATTGTCACTGGGAGGTTGAGGGGTGGCGTATACTTTTAATCCAACATTCAGGAGGCAGAGGCAGGCAGATCTCTCAGATCAAGGCCAGCTTGGTCTACAGAGCTACTGCCAGGACAGCCTACAAAGCTATGTAGAGAAACCTTGTCTCACAAAAACATTGAATCAACTTTCCTTTGTTTAGTTGTTTTCCTGACCATTATCCATAACTTGTAACCAACACACTAAACAAAGATAGACCATAATCTGTAGTAGGGCTGCTTCCTGCCACCCGGCTATCTTTACCTGAAATATTTACACGGAAACTGTATTCTTTTAAACACTGCTTGGCCCGTTAGCTCTAGCCACTTACTGGCTAGCTCTCACATCTAGATTAACCCATTTCTAATATTCTGTGTAGCACCATGAGCTGGCTTACCAGGAAAGATGTTAACCTGCGTCTTTCTGGAGTGGGAGAATCATAGCGACTGCCTGACTTGGCTTTTTTCTCCCAGTATTCTTTTCTGTTTACTCTGCCTACCTAATTTTCTGTACTATTAAGGGGCCAAGGCAGATTCTTTATTTAACCAATGAAATCAACACAAAACAGAAAATTCTCCCCATCTGTTGTAGTATGGAGCGGCGGGCTGTGTCCCGCCACCCGGCTAGCTTTACCCGAAATAATTACACGGAAACTGTATTCTTTTAAACACTGCCTGACCCATTAGTTTCGGTTTCTTATTGGCTAGCTTTTACATATTGATCTAACCCATTTCTATTAATCTGTGTAGCCCACGAGCTGGCTTACCAGGAAAGATCTTAACCTGCGTCTGTCTGGAGTGGGAGAATCATGGCGACTCCCTGACTCAGCTTCTTTCTCCCAGCATTCCGTTCTGTTTACTCCGCCTACCTAAGGGTTGGCCTATCAAATGGGTCTAGGCAGTTTCTTTATTA